TTTTTTTTTTTTTTTTTTTTTTTTTTTTTCTTTTTGGATCAAGTTATATGTTGGAGTGAGAAACTTGGGATTGGTTAAGATTTGAGAATGGGTCTGTATATGTTTAAATTTTCATAAATGTCAATGTATTATTAAAAAAAGTTAGTATTTTGTTAGTGGGGATCATGAAATTGATTGAAAGTTTTAATTCCTAATTGTATTATTGGCATTCAAAAAAATAATAATATAATAAATTATCTAGCGATTTAAAATGTTAAAATATTACTATTTCGTTGACTCTCATAATTGAGACAGACGTTTCAAGATATGTTGATGGATATTTATATATATAAAAAATGTCTTGTTGGAATTAAGCAAGCAATTATATTTTTAAAAATTTTAAATATTATTCTCTTTAAATCCAAATAAAACCTTATATTTACTATTTTTTTAATATAAATAAATAAATTATCTATTGATTTAAAATTTAAAATGTTACTATTTTCAATATAAATAAATATAAGATTTTAAAATTTATAACGATTTAATCAGTTTAATAACAAGATTGTCGGGACATGAAGACAAATGTAAATTATAAAGTTAAATTAAAATTAAAAAAATAAAAATAAAAATACTACGTGGCAATAGTTAAATTTTCCTTGAGCTAAAAAGTAAGAATAGCAACAATAAATTATCGAACCTAAAAACTTGTACACGCGCGATTGAGACGTCGTCGTTTCAATGTCCCAAGTCTTCTCTTTCCTTCTCCACATTCTGGTTATGGCGGCAACCGATCAGAAAAGGATGGTCTTAAAGACCTACAAATCAATGGCGACCGCTAAATGGATCTCTTTTGAGTGTTTGGAATCAGATCCACCGTCTGTGGTTGCGGCTGTTGTGAGCTCCTCGGAACCACTGGTCCCAGTTGATGTCCGGCGGGCCGATTGTTCTGTATATTTTGGATCATTCTTCGTTGATTAGGGGAAGAAATTATCATATAAATTGAAGATCGATAATCAATGTTAATGGTGATAATCTTACTCTGAAAGCAGAGGATCGGGAACCGATTCCACGCTCGAGACGAGTCTGTACGTAAACAGGTGAATAAATTAAGCCCTAGAGTAATGGCGACGATATTTCGTTTTGAAAATGAGTATATAAATGCTTTGCAATTTTTTCGTAAACCTAATAAATTGATTTATCAGCTTAGTTCTTACTCCTTGCAGACGATGGAGGGTTCGCCTACGCTCTCAAGCTGTTGCAATTCTTCCTGCATCGCGATTTATCCTCGTCTTAGTTTCAGAGTGGAAAAAATGACTGAAAACATGGAATTATTGACCGATTAAGGCAAATCTGTGAATCGAAAAACGAAATAGTAATCACCTCGATGATATTGATTTCGTTTTGGAGTCTGTTTATGGCCGCTGAGATTCTATGTCTGCCAAAGAAACTGTTCTTGCACGGAGCGGCAGATTTGGATTTAGATTTGGCTTCGGCTTCGGCGTCGACTTCTGAACTGACTTCTTCATCTTCTTCTCCCTTCGCCGATTTTTCTCCTCCACCTCCCGGCGGTGATTGGTGGTGTTCATCCATTGTTGCAGGTAAATCAAATTCGCAGCACTCAGATTCAACAACAATGGTGAGAAACTCTTGGAAATTAATATAGAGAAGGAGAAAGGGGAAAGAAACAAATGGAATCGAAGAGTTAATTTGTGTAAATGTTTGATGTGATTGGAATAATTGAAGAAGGAAGAGATGAGATTACGATGAAAAGGAATAAAGCGGAGAGTCTCAAAAACTCGAAGAAAAGGACTAAGAGTTGTAATAAGGTATGCCTTTTTGGCCCTTTTCTTTTCTTTCTTTATAATAATATCCAGATTATTTATTCAAAATATTGTTTTTAATAATAGCAAGACTAACATTTATAAAATATTTATTTATTTATTTATTTTTAGCTTTACAATTTAATTTAAACATATTTGAGCTTAATTTCTTTATTTTCATTAAAAAATTTAATTTATATACTAAATGTTTTTAGTTATATTAATCAAAATTATAAACCTATTTTTGTATATTTTAGTTTAAAATTATTAATTGAATTATGATTTTAATTTTAGGAAATTTGAAGGAATAACACAGCTTAAAACTGAATAATGGTTTCATTAAAATACCAAAATATCCCTAACCCTCTCAGAGCCTCGCAGGTTTGGCTGTGCAGATCGTCGGCCGAACCTTAGTAATTCCTGAACTCCTTGTTCAAGGGCAAATAGGTAAATTTGTACTATTTTTTATTTTTATTTTACATTATTTTGGCGGGGATAAAATGAGGATAAGCCCGTTCAATTGGGCAACTAGGGCTCAGAAGGGTGAATTCCATCATTTCCCTCCATTTTCGGAGTGTATGGTGAACTCTCCATTTGAACTTCAAGATTTCACCATTTTGCTGCTCCAACTATCTCATTCTCCGATCTTCTGATGCAATCCTAACTGTTAGGAAATGGCTTTTAGATCATCAATGTTGAAGCTCTCGTTGTTTTCTTCTTCTCCGTCGCAATCTTTTCGTTTACGGTATTTGATTTCCACCTGTGCTACTCCGGCGCCGAGTATTTTCCGGTGCTGTTCCATTTCTACTGCTACTGATGGTAAGAAGGTAAAGAAGGCGAAGCAGAAGAAAACAAAGAACGTTAAGGCGAGTACCGCTGTTCCGAAATCATCCGAGTCTTCGTCTTCGTCTTTGAAATTGGCTTTGGTGAAGGAGAAAAGGAGGACTCGTTCCACTAAGGAGTTTGATGAGAAAGCTGTCCAGTTCGGGGATACTGCTGCTCACATTCCAGTGATGCTTGCGGAAGTATTGGACGTGTTTTCTGCTTCTTCCGGAAGGTCGCTTCGCTCCTTTGTAGATTGCACCGTCGGTGCCGGTGGACATTCCTCTGCTGTTAGTATCTCTCTTAAGTTGCTTTCCTTCTTGTCCTCTTCATCGTTAATGATTGGTTCGTTGCTATTCGAATGTGTTTTCTGATTGAATTTCTCGATTAGATGCTTGTCCGACTTTCTATGGAAAATTTTATGATATACTATTATTCTGATTGAATTTTTTTAGATATACTATAATTCGTATGTACCTGCAACGGGATTAGATGCTTATCCGACTTTCTATTGAAAGTGAAATCAACTAGCCGTAGAATATGTGCTACTTGAATTACTTAATTCTGTATTTATAGTCTATGTAAAGCTACATTTGTCTATTTAATTGATCGATCTTATCTATGTGCTTCTCTACTATTTTTCCGCTTGTGAAGTTGCTGATTAACATATGTCCAGTCGTCCTGTATCGTTCCTTTGATGTTGTTGCATGAAAATTTGGATTGCTTATGGTTTTTGAGGCTTGATGCGGTGTTCATAATTGCTTCTTTCTGTGGCTATATTCGTTCTGTTTGCATTTTCTGTTTGAGTTTGAGTTTTCATTCTCACATTGTCTAATTCTGATTTCATGTCCTGAAAAAACAGATAATTCAAGCGCATTCAGAGTTGAAATTTTACATGGGAATGGACGTCGATCCAATTGCACTTGATAAGGCTCAAGATCGGATTAGTGATCTTTTCTGCGAGGATTCTGATTTGAAAGTATATACCGTTCTGAAGAACTTCAAATATATGAAATTGCTACTGGCTGACTCAGATGAGAAACCTTTAGAACCTGGAGTTGATGGCATTTTGATGGATTTGGGCATGTCATCCATGCAGGTACGCAAGTGGACCGATATGTAAAATATTCAGCTCAGTTCTCATTAAATAGCAAGGGGGAGAATAAACCTGTATGCTAATCCATATAAGGTGCTAAATAAAATGCACAACTCAATATAATGATATAGTACGAGGGTATAGCACACCAGTCAGGAAAAGAAAACAAGGTTTCTGCTAATAGTTCTTGACAGTTATGGAACAATAGAGAAGTCGTTGTAGAATGCCACGTTACTGTTACTTATTGTTACGGTTAACATATAACAAAGCTATGTTTCCTTGATATACCTAATCACCTGATGTTAGATGTCCTATTAATTCATCTCACAGATGCTGTCTCTCGCCTCTTTATCATGATGTCAGTTATTTGGTTTAATTTTCTGCATATAATATAATTTTTTGTTAACGGCCTGAAATTTTGCATTTTTCCTGGCTGCTTAGGTGGATGATCCTGAAAGGGGATTTAGTGTTCTTTCCGATGGTCCTCTTGATATGCGAATGGATCCTCAGGTACAAACTAGTTCAATAAATTAGTTGCAACTTAACCGTGCATTTCTAAGACTCCATTTGATAGTTATTTTATTTTTAATTTTCTGTTTTTTGAAAATTATGTTTGTTTCTTGCCATTTTTTTGGTAAATTTTCACCTTCTATTTGAATTCTAAGCCACATTTCAAAAGTTGAATTAAAATTTTAAAAAGTATTTTTTAAAATTTTTTAAAATTTAGCTTGGTTTCTTTAAACAAGTTATAAAGCAAGAAAACTAGAGGTGAAAGTACTTGACATAACTTTTTTACCAAAGCAACTGTCAACTATTATTTAACTTTTGCTTTTGTAGTAGCTAACCTGATTCATCCATGCTCACAATTGTTATTACAAAAAGTTAAACGACAGTACTTTATGTTGTGCATGCTATGTTTGGTGTGTGCAAGAGAGGAGAGGGGCCTAAAAGTGGTGTCCTATAATAATTAACCGAAGGACACGTGTGTGTGTGTGTATATATATACGTTGCTAAAGAATATTTCTATAACTGTTCGTTGGACAGCTTGCCGATTACTGATTTCCTTTCGAACATGGTCCTCAGTTCTCCTTATAGCTGGGTGGAACGGTACAGTTGAAAAAATAATATATATATATATATATATATATATATAGAAAAAAGGCTCGTTCATAGGTTTAGTGGAGACGTTGATGGGTTAATTATTTATGTCTTTTCCCCTACTGATTGAAACAGGTTTATGGCAGGCAAGTCTAAAAGCAGAGGACATATTGAACAGCTGGCCGGAAATGGAAGTGGGGCGTGTGTTGCGTGTTTATGGAGAAGAAAGTAACTGGTACTCACTCCAAAATAAAATCGTAAAAGCTCGATCACAGGGTGGATTGCATACCACCAGTGAATTAGTGGATCTTATCCGGAAATCAACCCCTGGGATCAAAGGTGAGCACTGTTTGTATAACAATTATATAAAATGAAGGACGATGGGTCATTAAATCAACATTTTCCACATTGTAACAGGAGGAAGGCAAGGTTGGATAAAAACAGCAACCAGAGTATTCCAAGCTCTGAGGATTGCTGTGAATGACGAACTGAAGGTATTAGAAGACTCGCTTTATAGTGCTTTCGAGTGTCTGGCTCCAGGAGGCCGACTTGCAGTGATTTCCTTCCACAGTTTGGAGGATAGGGTTGTAAAACAAACATTTCTGGACATCATTAACATCCCCAAGACGGAAGGGTGGGATGAAGAAGAGGTGATTAGGGTGAATGATGATAATAATAGGGAGGAAAAAGAAGAAGAATGGATTAAGCAAACAGTAAAAGGTTCAAAAGGTAGAATACTCACAAAAAGACCAATAACTCCATCTGAAGAGGAAGAGAGGTTGAATCGGCGATGTAGGAGCGCTAAGCTGAGAGTAATTCAGAAAAATAATGCATTTTAATAACGACGTGATTGTGATTTGGTGCTCTGCTCAGCCAAGCTTTTCTGAAGGGGAGGAGGAGGTTAGTATTACGTACTTCTCTGCTGTTATTATTTCATTTCATTTCCTTCGAAATTTTGTATGGAATTCTTCCTTTTGAGATATGATTGCTTGTTTTCTTTCGTGTCTTTAAAATATAATAGGTCTCAGCTACGAAAATACCCAACTTTAAAAAGTCTGACCTTTAAAAAACATTCAATAATAAGAAAACTTCTCTCCTTTTTTTAAATTTTTTTTTCTTTCTGTCTTCGAATTCTTACCCATTAAATTTAATATTATTATTTATTATTATTTGTCATGTATTCATTCATAGACCATAAGTTTTTTCTTTTTCTCAAAAACCCTGACCATATTCATATTTAAGCTTTAGGCCTTTGCTTAATTATTGATTTTTCAGTTTTTTCCTCAGTGGTTTCTATTACGCTTTTCTTTTCCTTATATTCATTTTAAAGGGTATAATTAAGGAAAAATATTGTCGTATAGTACTATTATTGAGGTATCATCAAAAGTAGTCGCATATCAAATATTTTGATTGAATAACTTTTGTGAACTTCACTGAATTTCTAATTCTTTTAACTTTTAAAATCATAGCAACAATTTGATCAAATAAACTAAACAATTGCCCGACATATATGTTTCCACTCTTTCACCGCCTGGAAACCACATTAATCTAAAGGGACCCGTTTCACATAGGAAGGGAGAATTTGTAGTGAGGTAATTTAGTATTTTCTATCCAGAAATTATTCGACACATTTTTCAAAAGAATCAATAGTGTAGTGTAATGGTGTGAAATTATTTTGTATAATTGAACAATTCCAAAACATTAATAAATTTAATTTTCAAGATACTTGGAAATGAATTGAATAAGAAATTTAAAAAAATCCATAACGAAAACGTAAAATATAAACTTCCATTCAACGTTATTCTAACATGATAATAAATAATATAGCCAGTTTAAAATTCTATTTAATATAAAAATAGATCCCTTGAGTTTATAGGCCAACCCAATATGAACGGCCGTTGACGTTATGTAGCGGGGACTGGCTGGGAGACGTCACACACCACTCGTACCAGACCTGAGTGACACATTTTTGCTAAGTTAAGAAACTAATTAATTAATTTTTAAGATTTTAATTATAAGAAATCACCCCATCCCAAGTCCTCACCTTGTTAGGATTACAACAACGCCAAAAATGGACTTGTACGGAAGAACCCGGCCGCACGCATATCGGAGTCCTTAATGGGAAAAATATTGCGAACCTGAAAAAACTTAAGCTTTAGCTTTACAATAATAACAATAATATTAATGTAAGTGAAGAATAGTTAAGAGAGAAAATAATAATATTATTTGAGCATACCAACTGAACATGTTTGGCGTGGCTGTGGATGGTTCAGTGCCCAGATGAACATCACCGTATAAAGTCGCATCAAAATAACCACCAAAACCTTCACAAAAGTTTGGACAGTTTTTAAATGAATTCCCAGTTACTAATCAATTTGTTTCCAAAATGCAGAATACAGAGAGCACAAGCAAATACCATGTATAATGGCTGCACCAGTATCGTTGGGTATCTCAAACACCAGCTTCTTATACCGTTCATTGCTTCCCTCCGATATTTTATTCGGGTGAGTAAAGGTAAAGACCTATATATATATTATTATACACAATAATATTTAGATCTACATAATAATACTAAACATACTAAAATAAAAAAAAAAAAAAAAAAAAAAAACCCTTACAGGCTGAGGAGGAGAGAGTCTTGCTACGTTGTGCAGTTTGACAACGTAGGCAGTTTCGAAGTGGACCACATCTTTATGTGCCTTCACCTGTGCACCATTATTTATTATCACATTAATAATAATTTAATATAATAACACTAAATATCAAATTTAAAAAATTAAAGCCTTGACTTCGGCGTACATCATTGTATAGCTTGGAGGCAGTAATTGGTTGGAGGAAACTCGTGTACCTGACACAGTCCCGATCAAACTTTCTCTATAATATCATAAGAATAAAAAATAAAAAAAGCGACTAAGAAATATCTCACTTACGAAGAAGGTATTGAAATGCCATCTTCTTTTAAGAATCGCTGGGCCCCATCAAGACATTCAGGAGATAGTTCGTTGTCGCCAAAAGAACCCAGCAGCTCACTCACCTTTAAAAATAAAAAATAAAAAAATAATAACATGGTAGAAGTCAAGAAAATATATTAATTAATAAAATAAAGATATATTTGCGTACCAAAATATCAGCCTTCTCTGAAGCTTCCCAGGAACGCATGTCGCAGGAAATTATGGTAACAATTTTTTCCCAGCCCTCCATTCTAACCAAACACTGAAAATCAAATCAATAAACACCACCGTCATTTTCCCAGCAGCATATTCCAAGACTACTTACTAACTGAAGCTATAATTGTTAGTCTAAAGAATGCAAGATTTCAATAATAAAGGGACATTTCATTCGACCAGAACGGGACGTTTGAAGTTCAGAAGAGCAAGCAAATATGTGACTACGAGTTAAGGAACAGAACAAGTAGTAGAGTGCTCACATTAAGAGTTACAACTGCATTAGGATTTTTCTCCACAGCATAGACTTTCAGTTTGCGGTCTGTTTCTTCTGCTGCCTACAAACTAGCCATTGTTTAATAGAATAAACAAGAAAAATTAAAGGCAGCCAATTCTTCAAGTAAGGAAAGGAACCTGCAATGCTGCCCTAACGAGAGGACCACGACCTGCGCCTACGACCATCAATACCTATCGGCAGAAATCGAATGGTAAGGCCAAATCAATTTGTGAAAAACAAAAAGGTTGGAAGCTACTTACTGTTGTTACTGAAGACGCCTTATCATCTGGTACCCTATCTTTCAAAGCTTTAGCAATTGCACGTTGGTACTAACAAAATTTAAGCAAATAGTTAGGACAATACAAAATAATAACACTTGATAATTGATATCTATCATTGACCAAATGTTTTTGAAATGGAAAATCACCAATTATAACCTTAATAAGTACACATTTAGTAAGATAGACATCAAACAGCACTAATTAGCCACAACCATTATATCAAGGTAACGTGAAGCGTTCTATGCCTACACATATATACAAACAAATTATAAATAAAATATGCAATATAAAGTCTCAATGAGAGAAATATTAAATGAAGCAAAGCGATTATCCAAATTCGAACATCATTACAATCTTTTTAAAAAGGATTAGATAAATTGATTAAATCATGACTTTGATAAGATTGCAGTCCTCTAATGAGGGAAAACAAGAAATCAAAGAGTAGCATAAACAAGAAATCATGACTGGCTAACATTGTATGAACTACGCACAATCTGATAAATTGAAAACTAGTTACAAAAAAGAAGAAAATTACTTCGGAGCAATACCTGAATGTATTTGACTGCGTCTTTCTCAAAAGTTTCATAAGTTTGAGATTCTAGATTATCCATAAGAGGCTGAAATGGAAACAGAGAAATGTTTGACAAATTAATGGTAATACTAAACATTAAATGTTAACAAAAACAAGTTATGACGTCTAACAAAACTTACTTGCAGAGGGGCCTGTAAGAAGTCCCTGTATCCAAGCTAAAATGAAAGGGTGTCAAATGAAAGAAGTTAATTGGAATGTGAGTGTACAATTTACAAAAATATGGAGAGTGTTTTTAACGGTGAGTATCCATTTATGCATGTAAGAGAGAAACAGGGGACTGAGAAAGAACAAATAGAAGCTACCTCAATTCGTTCTTGCTCAGGGAGTGGGTCCATTCTCTGGTAAAGAAAAGCAACATAATCTAAATAGCACCTCAAGGGATGAGACTGAACACCTAAACATTAGAAAAAACCAAACTATCAAACCATGGGCCATGATTCGACATCCATTTATCTTCTGCTTGGTGAAAGAGAAATTTTAGGCAAAAAAAAACATGCGCAAATAGACATGCGGATACCATCAGGACTTTTGTTGAGACCAGTAGGTGAATCTGTACCTCCCCTTGAAACGTTGTGCAATGCCTTCCCAGATAAAACTACCTGAAGCGGACAGATGGATCAAGATTAGTTAACTGACTATGCAGCCAAAATGGAGTTTTCAAAAACTAATATCCCTGAAAATGATGAAAATTGGTATTAATTAAAAAGCAAGGTAAGTAGAAGTTCTTGAAAAACTAAATGAAATGAAATCAGATAGTGTAATGATGGAATAGATGGAAGATACCTGAATAGAATGATTGAAAAATCCAGTAATCAACTTCTGGTGCCGCTTTGACAGGCATGGATAACCCCGTGAATTAGTCAAGAAACACTGGAAATAATTCAAGTGCCTTAGTAAAGTATCCAGGCGATCAAAGATATCAGTTTAATCTCAAGAAAATATCAATATAGTTACATCAGTGCTAATAAGGGCTGCTCTGACAGACTCCCCAAACCATCGTCCAAGCGAATTTGGTGACGGCAACGTACTCCTAATGAACAAAAAATACCAATTTCAACATTATAACATAAATGACAACTCAAGTATGCAAAACAGACCACCACAAAGTTGAGCACTCACAAAATGTCGAGTGCAACTGATAACTGACTGTGGTGCTCGCAAAGCAGACGAAATGAGTTCCACAAATCCCAAGAATCAACCTGCAGAATAATGATTGATATTAGCAATATTGACACAAACATAAACACTCGAGCATGAAAGGAATTCAAAAAAGAAATCTGCCTGAAAGTTGAGAATTGTTGTGCATGATATTTTGTCATGGAAATAATTGACGCCGATAATTTTTCCCCCCAATCAATAACTTGTAAGTAAATACAGATATCAATGATTTTGTAAACAACACCACTCAGAATCTCCAAGCAGAGAACCCATTCTAGTATGAACTTAAATCTCCTTCCCATAAAGAGGGCAGCAAGAGAAAGATGCAAGCGTAATTCAAAGATGCTTTACTTACCAAATGTTCAGATTTGGCATCTGTAGAATCATCATCAACCTTCACCAGAGGTATCCTGAGCCACAACTTTAGAAAAATATCAAAATTAGAACAGTTTAAAACCCTTGGTAAAACTTACACAAGTATGAAAAGTATTGATCATTTTATGATAAATAAGAGAGGCACCTGCATGTTATTAAGGCCCTGCAAAATCTGATGAACACACCTAGCATAATTAGCATATGATGTTCCCTTAGGTGCTGGAAGAAGGCATGCCTGCAGTAAATCATCTCTTTACTGTTTAGAGGATGTTCAATTATTTTTAATGCACCTCCAGCATTGAGAAATTAGACGAGTAAAAAACCATTAAACTCTTTAAAAGTTGAGAGATTTAAAAAGGCAAGGAGAGCAAGAGAATGCTTTGCATATACTTTGAAAGATAAAAACAAAAGTACAAGTACAAGTGGTTGTCTATAATTTTGGTCCAAACTTTTCTGTAAAAACTGCAATTGGACAGCCAAACTAGAACATTATGCACCTGCAGAGAGAGATGAGAAGCCCAAGCAATCTCTTGCTTTAGAGTTGTCTCAGAATCAATTCGTAAAATCTCATCTTCAGAATCTAAGTCAATCCAAGAACTAATTTTTCCTGGGACATCAAAAAAGAAAATAAAATATTTCAGTGCATACCAATGCTATTCTACAATAAAGTTAATAAACCAAAATGTTATTAAACAAACGAATAATAATTTTTCAAAAGAGAATACCAACAACGTGGCTGCTCCACTGTGCAGGGCTTAAAATCAAGTCTGATCCAGCAAATGGGAGAACGGCAGAGCAACCATTTTCTTTTTGCACCAAGCTTGGTCGATAGGATGGATTCATCTGAAGCAAGATTTAACCAAATACCACTTTATGGAAGTTAAGCAATCAAAATATCCTAAAAAATGTTAATCATAATCCATACATAAAAGTGACCAATCATCCCAACAATTTGTTAAAAACTAATCATCAAAATGTATGTAACAGTCCAAGTACGAAAATTACATGGTTTATTTTCACCGCACGGACCATTAGTAAATATTGTTTTAGGTGAGCTTACTGACCATTCACACAAAATAGACAGCTATGAGCTGGTGTGTGACTAGCTAATTGGCCACCGCAAGTACTAAAAAGAATGAGAATCAATACAAACTACATTGACGGATGGATCGTTTTCTAATAGATCTAGCAGTAAACAGAAAAATATAAATATCTACAACCTAAGGTTTGGCATGCATACCACCAAGCAAATGATAAATTTAATTGTCCTGGAAACTTAATCAAAATGTTTCAAAATTTAACCAGCTATATCTTTACAGTAAATAGAGTAGATATATATACATATAGCCTCAAATATGAAAATAACTGGCTATCCTCTTACGAAATATATAAAATATCTTATCCTACTTACATTATTGAACCTGATTATTATTGTATGCATAGCAAAACACTTCGACATGGTTTGAGACATGTACTTTGACAGCCTTAGAGTGAAACTACACTATCTACCTTCACCGAGACGGCTGTCAAACAGCATTGCTTTAGGTGAGCTTACTGACCATTCACACAGAAGATACAGCTACTTAGCCGACGTGTGACTGGCTAATTAGCCACCGAAATAACGAAAAGAACGTAAATCCAACAATCGTAATCCGTTCACTTCCAAGCAAACAGACAGAGAATGCACAAAGAACACTCTTCTAAGCTACAGAGAGAGGAATGTGCACTGCGTGCAAACACATTCACATACGAAAGAAAAACAACAATAAAAGATAACAATCATCAAACGCCATTTCTCGATCGGTTAAGGTCTAAACATCATTTTCAGCAGTAAATATCGAAAAGAGAAATGCAAGAATGCTAACCAGAGGTGCGACGACGAAATCAAATCCACCAGAGGATAGATTTGAGATTAAGAGCTGAGGCACATCGTCATCAAATTCAGTCTCGACTCCGCAATACCGAGACTCGCTCTTATCGCCTGCTCTATCTCCAAGCGGCATTTTCGTTGAGCAGCGGCTTCTTCGATCGAAGCCGAAACTGAGAGAACGAGAAACAGAAGAACAGAGAGAGAGAGGGAGAGCGGGAGAGGGACGGAGGGAGTAAAGAGAGAAGGGGTTTTGATAGGGTTTTTAATGGAAGTTGACTGAACCAGGACTTAAAAAAGGATCTGTGAATTGAAATCAAAAGCTAGGGCTTTGTTGAGAATAAGGCCCAATGATTCGTGAATATTCATGGAACCCGCGAAACGACATGTCGACCTCTGAAACCTTTTTTCTTTATATATATATATATATATATATATTTAAAAAAACGCATTTCGTTCTCACTTGTGTTGTCGGCTGATGGGATGGGATTTGCCTTTAGGTTACTTGGTTAAAAAAGGACTTTTAGTTTCAAGATTTTTTTTTAAAATTAATAGTTTTCATTATTTTAAAGCCATTTTGTATATTTCTTTTTAATTTAGTTTAAAAAAACAACACTAAAAACAAAATTTAAAATTTAAAATATATATATATATATATATATATATATATATATATATATATATATATATATAA